CTTACCCTTCATCTAATTTTGAATCCCAATACAGGATGGTGATGCAGAAGAAATTGTTCAGACTGCAACTGCCAACTCTTGTGAGAACAAAGCTGAAGACATAGAGGAGCAGTTGGCTATGCCAGTATACCAGGATGAAGATCATGGGACTGAAAAGTGTCAACCTGCAGAAAGTTTAGGTAGCCTTCTGGAATCAAACCCCTCCATTTCTGCTTCCTCCTCCCCAGCACACAGGACTAACACTGAAACCATTCTAACCAAAAGTCAGTCTCCCACAGGGGAAGAGGTAGCGCAGACCTCTCCGGGAGGATACATTAGAAATACCAAGCTGAGAGAGTCTAAGGGCAAAAGCAAAGTCGCCAAAGGTAAGCTTAGGCATTAGGTAAAGCAATTACATACTACATAGAGTACAAAATTATCTTTAATGTGATTCAGTAATATTTAAATTCAGCGGTATTCGGTTGTTTAAACCATATCATCTGCAAGACAAGGAATAAAACTTTAAAATACACTGGAATATTTAATTTTGTTTATTTAGATGGATGTAAGAGAGCACGGGACTTGGCTTACTAGAGAGTTAAGTAACAAAGCACAGGAGCCAGTCAAACTGGACCAAAAAAATAAAAAATAAAAATTAACGCCCAAATAGTGCAAAGAAAGTTTAGAACAGAGTACCTTTATTTCCTCATAGTAAAATGGTTGGCTGGGACTGTAAAGCAGGGGGAAGCACAACCACATTAATGCATGCACGTTTCAATATTTGTATTATTTTTTTATGGTATAGGTAGGACTAGAATAGTAAATGATTGAATACAGCAGTTTGGTGGAGGGTTTCTTTTTAGGTACGTTTTAAAATGTAATCTGTTTTGCTAGCTAAATCACTTACAGATGCCTAGATTAGTAGTCAGAAACTGAACATTTTGCAATGTTTAACAGGCAATTGTGGGCTAGATGTTGTGAGATGCTGCACATAAGCATGCTCGATTAGGTACTAGGTATGCCATACCTATACTTTATTATAATGTGCATATGGCATAAAATGTTAATGTAAAAAAAGTGTCATACATGTGCTAGCATTTATCTAGCGTGATGTGAAGATGTAATGTTATCTTCTACAATGTTGTTGTTGTTTGCCCAACAAGTGCTTTTTAAAAACCTACTGTTGCCTCATTGCACAATCTTACAAGTTTGTTGCTTGTAAACTCATGTGCATGCACAGTTATTGAACCCCAAGGAAATAAATACCTGGCACACGTGCCTCAATGGGAAAACTTTAAGGAGGATGGCATTGCCTGTCACTCTAAAATATATTGCACATCTTAGCACAGTTTACACTTCAGCAGCATTTACCATGGTGAGTAAAAGTTACAATCTGAAAGGTTCCTTTTTAGCTGCAAGTTTAAAGGGACACTATAGTCACCAAAATCACTTTAGCTTGATGAAGCGGTTTTGGCATATAGCTCATTCCTCTGAAGTTTCACTGCTCAATTCTCTGCCATTTAGGAGTTAAATTACTTTTTTTTTTTTCTGTTTATTCAGCCCTAACCACAGCTTCCCTGGCTGTGAATCACATAGCCTGCATGAAAACAAAATGGTTTCATTTCAATCAGAACTAGCTTACTTTAAAAAATGTTTTAACTCCTGCTCTGTAAATTGAATTTTAGTAACACACAGGAAGCTCCTGCAGGGTCTAGCAAGCTATTAACAGAGCAGGAGATAAGATATTCTAAATTAAACATAATTTGCAATAAAGGAAATGTACACATTAGATCTCTCTTTACAGGAAGTGTTTAGGAAGGCTGTGACTTGCATAGGGAGGAGTGAATAGGGCTGCATAAACAAAGTGATTTAACTTCTAAATGGCAGAGAATTGAGCCGTGAGACTGCAGGGACATGATTTATACAGTAAAACGGCTTCATCAAGTATATAAAGTTGTTTTGGTGACTTTAGTGTCCCTTTAAATATTCAATGAAGTAATTGTAGTATAATTGTAAATACAATGGTTTAAGAGATGCACTTAGATTTTACAAATTTTTCTAAAAAGAACTCCTGAATGTTTTCCACTTATTTCACAGTCCCAATACATATGCTGATGTATCCTGCATTGCTTTTGCTGCTAAAAACCAGTTTGAGATATTTAAAAAGTTGTTTGCACTTTCTGGAATCCATGCATGTTCTATTCATTGTCTGAAGAGGTCTTAACTCTCTTTAATATAGTGAATGTGCGATTAACATACTTGTGTGCTCTTTTACATTAATTAATGGAGTATTCAAAAACTGTTTTAAACATAGTTAATATGCTTTGAACACTTTTTTTTCTAGCATTTCCTGCGTTGAGCTGCAGTCCTCAATATTTTGTGGCCAATACCAGAATTTGATGGACTGTATCTTCTATAATTGTCTGCTGCATATGGCTGAGAAAATTATTAGAACTGCAGTTCAACAAATGTTAAGGCTCTCATTTCCACTGCCCTTAGCCTAAAAATGTACCATCATTACTTCCTACACATAATCTAAGTGATGCGGAGGGTTACTGCATAGTAAGATGGGTTGGAATTTACTTATAAAATAACTGTTGAATGTTGTAAAAACGTTAACGAAACATGAACATTATTTCATATCAAATAAAATAAAATATCTAAAGTTAAATAGTGGCAAAAATATCACCCAGCTTTTATTTTAGACACCCTTTGTAAAATAAGAACCTCTTCCTAAGTCATGTATGAAAACCGAAAGTCATATTTTGTATCTCATATTTTCCTATAATGCTTTAAGGAGGAATTTCCTCCAGCATATCTGAATTTAAAACACAAGTTTAGATATGCTGCTCGCAGTGTTCTCGTTCTGCAACAGAAGAGACCTCCTTGCTAAATGATTTGTGTACTGTTTGTGCAGATGAGAAGAAAAATGATGACAAAGCGGGCGAGTCCAATGAAAGCACTGGAAAGCACAAACGAAGATTCCCTGACTTTGGGTAAAAACATTTCCTTTTTTTTTTTTTTTTTTGCGCCTCCGGGCTCGTTGCAAATGGAATGTTAATATCAGAGATTATTAATTTTAATTGGTTATGGACCGTGGTATGATCTGCTATAGTTGATTGGTTATCTCAACATTTACAAATCTGCATACATTTTTGAACTTATTTAAAATGATTTATTTTATTATCAAACAATTTAATGTGTTTTTGTGCTTTGTATATTTACCACAGTCTTCTGAAAAGAGTATTTTGATTTACTAGACATTTATTGAAGGGAAACTATAGTGCCAGGAAAACAAAGTTGTTTTCCTTTTACTATATCTCCCTATAGTGCCCAACATCATTTACCTGACTGCAGCGCTGCTTTGCTCCTCCCCCGACGACGTCGGCCAGTGAGGGAGACCTAATGTGCATGCGTGGCAATAGCGGCGCTCACATTAGAATTTCCCCCATAGGAAAGTATGTATGTACAATGCTTTCCTATGGGGTTTCACATGACACTGGATGTCCTCATGCATAGCGTGAGGACGTCCAGCTTCAGGCGACCCAAAGTCCAGTAGACTGCCACTAGAGGTGGAGTTAACCTTCAAAGGTAATTATTGCAGTTTATGAAAAAAATGCAATAATTACTTTTGCAAGGTTAAGGGACCTGGCACTATGCACACAGACCACTTCAATGCGCTGAAGTAGTCTGGGTGCCTATAGTGTCCCTCAAAGACAACGTAATCTGTTTAAAAATGTTATGGGTTTTGTTTAGTTTTTTGATGAAAATCTACATAGGCTGTGAGTATCAAAAACACATGTTACCATGACAATGTCCCAAAATGAAGGTTAGAGGATTGGAAAAAAAAGTCTTTTCTACCCTAGTATAGGCAGTGTTTCAGCATTTTGGAATATTGTTCTACTTTCTAAAACTGCTAGGGCTGTGATTGACATAAGTACAGATTCTGTCTGTGGTAACTTGATTTTTATACATTCCAAATAATTTTTTTTAATTTTTTTTTATTTTATTAGAGGATTGCGGAAGTCTGGAGGCAAGGGCAAAAAACATGATCGAGAGACTCGAAGTTCATTGGATAGCCGGTAAAACAGTACAGCCAACAAATTGAAAATGAAAAGGATTTCTTGGCTTCTACACTTGTAGTATTGTACACTTGTTCTAGAATACTGGCAGAAATTCATAAAAGTTTCTCTGTAATGTTGCCGGTTAATTTTTGCTGAAGAAATCCTTGCAGATCTTTCTTGTAAACCGTTTCAAATTAAACAAGGCAACATTATTTTTTAACAAAGAACCTGTTCTCCATACACTGTAAGCGCATCACCTTGAAGTGGTGGTGTTGATAGGTTAAGCAAACAGTACTTTACCAATTTCTTCTCTCTCTTTAACTGTTCTGAGTACTGAAAGATCTATCAGATAGCACAATAATATTCTCCATTTCCTGCACAGAATTTGTGTCAAATGTCAAGACTGTTTTGATGATAATCACATTAATAATTGAAATACCTGAATTGACTTTTTTGTAATATAAATTTCTTTGCTTGATTTCTATTTTTACCTATTTATACAGTGGTTCTAGAGATCTTCTTGAGGATCCTGGCAATCAGTCCCTGTCCGATTCAGATTCACCGGTACCCACTTGCATGCCTTTCTCTTGGTTTGGAGAGAGCCACAAAGAATCTGGCAGCTTCACCTTCCCGCAGAGTGGGCCTGAAAATTATGTTGAGCAAGGGCAAGAAAGAAGTAGAAATAAGGTGAAACTTTACAAAAGAAACACTGCATTAAAATCTTTGTACATGTACAGTCAATCAGGACAGATGTATCTATTTTTAACAAATACTGACTGTTACAGTTTTCCCCTACATTTTTGTAATGTGTGAAGAGTGCACATGAGGGCATATATTCATGCAGCAGTAATGGCTAATCTGAACATTGCAGGTGGTGGAATGCATTTATGACCACTTGTGGAAAATGGAAATGTAATCCACAAACATCTGCCGTGCTTGTAGTAAAGAATTTAAACATATGGCCAGTAATTTTTTTTTTTTTCTGTTGCCTGTAAATAATTTACCATATTGGTGGAACTTGCAGATGGTCATGTCCTCTTATCTACCTGTTGACGTTGCGAGATAGTAGACTACTTACTTCATTTTCATCTGTTTCTGCACATTCCCCTCGCCTAATGCATGAGAGGATACTGGACAGCTAGGATGCAGATGTCATCAAAACGGAAAGGAAGTAGAGGCAGTAAAGATTCACGGTAGTGTCTTATAGTATCCAGGAAATAATGGCAATAACTCGCTATTTCATTAACGTAGAGAGAAAATCACGCAGTTTGGTGTTAATAAATATTTACAAATTGAAAATGGAACAGATCTTAATGAATTTTGTCTGTTGGTGCGAAATATCTGCACTATATAAACACATCCACTGCCTTCGAGTGTTTCTGCTTCTGTGTGGCGATGTAGCTATGCAATGGTGGACTTGGTGTTCCATCCAAAGGATATGTAACAATATTCTGCCTTGCATTGGTAAATCAAGCTGGGGGTTTTTGAAAATCCTCAAAAATTAGTATCTCACAGCATAAACAGATTGCTTGGCACCAGATTATTTATTCAAATGTGAGACCAAAATAGCCAAAGTGACAGCATATCTGGCTGGAGAACTCTTGGGAATTCCGCTATGTTGGCTTTAAATTTTGAATCCACTTTGATTTCCTGACAATTCTCACTTAAGTTATTACTCTGCTTGTAACTATTACAGGGATTATTACAAACATCAAAGCTGTTGGCGAAAATAGCCAAGCTGTAAAAAATACTCACCAAGTCTGTGTGCTGCCTGTCTGGCTATTATTAACCTTAAATTTAAAATTCACTTTGAATTCCTGACAATTCTTACAATAGTGAATAACCACGTTAAGGTTTAAATGTGTATAGATTTACATATTCTGATTTTAACTTAATCAATAGTTTCCTTTCCTCTACAAAATGAGTTTCGAAATGCAAAAGACAAGTCTTGGGTGGGAACTATGTAAAGCGTTGGTAGTAACTTATGGGTTGTAAAGATAGAATCTTAAGGCAAAGAAACGAATGTGTCTTATGGACAAGACATTTTTTTATTTTATTTTTTACTTTTGCATAGTGCCTTAGAATGGCACTTCATGCATATTCTGCCACACTTTGCCATTTTTCTTGCGAAGTGCAAAACACCATGCATCTTCTTGCTCAATGCAAAATTAAAGTAAGTGTCATGTAATTGTGCTTGAGCATGATCATTTATGGGGCGATTCAGTCTTGAATTATGTTCCCCACACACTCCATTTATACAAACTTGTGCAAGCATGCGAGTACATAAGTGACGCAGCACCAGAAAGTTACCAGGAGTTGAATACTAGGTCGACAAATATGATGCGAACAGCTCATTGTAGTGCTTATTGTGCAAAGAGGCCATGCGAGCTGCACCATTTTTGGGATGGCGAGGGGGGGGGGGGGTTGTATTGGGTTTGGTAAGACTCTTCTCAGCACCCATAGTTAGCCCCACTCTTGTATTAACCGTAACTTTTCCATCCAACATAGGTAATGGTAATTAGCCAAGAGTACTGGAATCATTTAATCTAGTGTTCCTAGCCTCTTACCTGCCAACCAGGTTGCAGAATTGATCTTCGTAATGTGAAAATGTAAATTCAAATTCACCCGTATCCTCTATGTATCATAACTACTGTAGTTATGGTGTTTAGACTAACCCTTCAATGTTTTAAAATGTAATTAAGCAGGTTTGTGCAATGTATTGCTGTATGCATTAAAAAATGCACTAAAGCCAGAGCCTTAATATTAGTTCTGTCTCTCACGCATGCTCGACAGGATTTAACATTAACACACTGCAATTTAATTCTAACTTCTTGCTGTTTGTTTGGCTACATGCATTAATTATCTCTTTGTAGATTTGTGAACTGAAACCAAGTCATTTGGTTTAAAAATCCTTGACGAATAGTCATGCAAAACATACCTCTAATTTTCACGTGTTACATAATTATTAGCTTAGCAGCTAATTGAAATGATCATTGCATTCCTTTAGGACTATTCTAGGTGGCAAGTCTGTGAATACCACAAACATTGTACAATTAATAAGATATATTTAGGAAAGAGAAGTAACATGATTCTGTATTGAATGCCATTGTGCTACTTAATTTACAAATGTTTATATTGCAGGAAAAACTAGGAAAGAATGGTTTCTCTCTGTGTTGTGTCTAGAGGTTTAATTTTGTATTCCAAATATTACTTTTCAATGTACTAATGTTTAAAAAAAACACATTACGTGGCGTAAGTACTACTGCATTAACTCCAGCTGCTGTGGACTACAGCTCCCATGGTGCCAAACATGTGGTGCTAGCCCACGGTTTTAGAACATGCCACACACAAACCTCTATTTGAGGAAGTTGCTCAACAAAGGGAAGGAACTCTTTGTAAAAACTGACAGGAAATCATATATGTTAAAGAAAAATGATGGGATTGCTTGTTATGCTGATTCTAGGAATACACTTCTATGGAAAAAAGGTGATGGGTTTTATCACTTTTGTTTTCTGAACATGTTCCTTTTATTTATCCAACTAAAATTTGAGTAATATCCTTGTTGTTTCTTATCAATGCTGTTTGACTTTAACCGTCAACAATATAATTTGGCTGCCAACCTTCTCTTTGGTGTTCCAAACCTACCTGCTGCACAGTCCAGATGTCAAACCCACTCTCACGTATCATGAAGACGCCTGGAGATCAAACACAAACAGATTTTGGATGTTGTCATAATCTTGTTGAGTATAGTTAATACAGTCTTATTTCTACTTGTTTTCAGAGTAGACTTGTCATAGATGATTCATACAGTTACAAGCTATGCTCTGATCTGTCAGGGTTAGTGACAGAGCCCACTCTGTCAGGGCGTTCACATACTTTCACCTTCTCTTCAAATGAGGTGAGTTTCCCAGTGTGTACATGGTGTCTCGTTGGTGTTCTGTGTACTAGCTCATCAGAAGCATGTCTGTTTTGCTGTGTTAATCCTGACAGATATGCCTGCCCCCTTGTGGCTTAAAAAAATATTTAGTTTTACCACAAATACATGGTAATGCTAACTCTTCCATTACAGTCACTTCGACAAGCAGTCATGGACTAGACCCTTAGCCATGGCTACATATTGCCAAAATGTTGAATGTTTAATGTATATTAACCTGAAACCATAACCTGTAAACATGTCAACTCTGCTTAATACCAACACTGCACATACTTTTCAATCATTTGTAAATACCGTAAAGAGTCTTTTAGTTATGATAGTTAATTTTTTTTATCAGTTTAATTTTTAAAAAAAAATTCTAACTATCACACTGCAAGCTAAATATAAGAACCTACCTGCCAACAAACAAACATAGGCTGTTTGTAATTTTTAGTGTAGCCACACCCTGGATTATTAGTGAATTTGGTATTATGGTAAAACAAATTGTGGTACAAGTAAAACAAATTGTTTGATGGTGTGTCGAGTTAGCGTGCATGTATTCTGCATGGCCTTTTCTGCCTTTGTGCAGTGTGTATGTGTGTTTTAATATTTCCATTTCTGATCTATGCTGTAGTATCGTGTTGATATTGTAGCTGTGGAAGTTTATTTGTTTTTTTTCTTAATTTTGTATGTCATTATTCATGTTTTCTCAGTGAAGTGACAGAACAAATAATCTGATATAAAGTAATGGCTTTCCAGTTTTATTTACGCAACTTACTGATTTTTCTGTATACCATACATGCATAATAACTTTTAAATCCATCTCATTCAAGTGGTCTGTCCACTTGCCTATTGTAGAATTATTATACATGTTAGCCTGGATTAATAAAGTTACATTATTAGGTTTTGGAGCCTTTTAGCTATTAGACCTGTTGGATATAAATTAAAGTATGGGACTTTGTGTATGTACCTAGCTCTTCTCAGGTTGAGGTTTAAGTGCTCCATGGTGTGTGTGATAAAGGTCAGTGGGTAGACTTCTAGCTGAAGTTATCTGAGTTACAAGTTGGGTTTATGGTATGTCCACCTCCACCTTAAATCACATAATAAAATCTAGACCTCCACAAAAAGCTTAAAGGGACACTCCAGTCCCCTAAAGTTAGTTGATTTGAACTATGTTAGTGGCAGTAACCTAAATAATTTAAGTAATACTACAGTTAAAAAGATATATATGAAACAGGGGGGGGGTTGGCTGCACAAAGGACCTGCCAAAGATGGGGTACATTGATGTTGTGGCAGGCTTATGCAATGTATGATCATATAATGTAACTAAACCCCCATTATTTTTGCCTAGATTAGGTGTTTTTAAAAAAACTAATAAAATCTTTCAACATTGAAGTTGCTGTTTAGTGGATAGGTGAGTGCGCTGGATCTTGTGTATTTTTTTTATATATATATATATATATATATATATATATATATATATATAATATTTATTTTTAATATGGACTTTACTTACGTTAATAAATCGAGCTATAGAATTAAGATAATCAGTAACACCCGTAGGAAAATATCTTGGGGTACTCTGTTCAGCTTTGCTTTCTTTAGAAAATATGAATTTCTATTCATACTCAAATCTGATTGAAAGATACCTCTAGCAATATATAACAAAATGTATACATTTCCATTGGCATCTAGACCAGAGGTTGTACTTGAAACTTGTGACAAGGTAAATGTATCCTTACTGGTAAAATAGTTTGACTGTTTCTCATAAGACAGAGTTTTATATTCTTGTCCATTTGGTGAAGCAACTCTTGCCCTGTAAGTTTGGCAACAGTTTTGTGATGAAGGCACCATTGAAACTGTTTACAAAATCATTTTCTTATGAATTTTTCATTACAAATAGCAGTGATGGTGGACCTGTTTGAGTCAGTCCCCAAACTGCAACTGGAAAATGAAATAGTCTGTACAAAAAATAAAAAATCAATAAAGAATTAACACACACACACCAATAAAATACAACACCAAACAAGTTTTCTGCATAGAACCAGCTAAAAAAATGTTAGGAGCCAGTTTTTTAAAAACGCATAAAGCTTTATTTTCAACAAAAAAAATAAAATTCTCAAAGAAACACTATAGTCACCAGGACCACTGCAGCTTAATGTCATGGTTCTGGTGTCTAGCCCGTCCCTGCAGGCTTTTTAATGTCAAAGGAAAGCGAACCCAATAAGTGGAAAGGGAGACAGGAACATTTATATAAAAATAAAACTTTATTCTAAATAATATACAAGGCAAATAAAAATATACATAAATGAGTATGTGTGTACATATCCTATAAAAGAATGTCGCTAGACACAAAATCTAAAAACATATGTCTCTAAAACTAAAAATAAATTTAAGAATCTTGGAGACTACCTCTGCTTGATAGAGATAGTAAATCTGACCTGAAAAAAAGTGAGGCTGGAGACACTCCATAAACGGCCAGCTGATGTGTTGAATAGTCTGAAAAAATCCAAAGGATCCCTTGAAACAATGTACTTAGTACTTAACGTGGATAATCGCAGGTGGTCTTCCTGAGGATTTTATGATCCTTACTATTTGTTGTAGTATGTCAATCCCATAAGATGTGGGTGTCCTGTCACTTCAGTGTCTCTCCTGTTTGCGCGCGTCTGATTACAGGAGGATCGGCTTTTTAATGTAAACACAGCCTTTTCAGAGAAAAGACAGTGTTTACATTGCTGCCTAGTGATACCTCTAGTGGCAGTTACTCAGACAGCTACTTAAGTACTTCCTATCTCAGTGCTGCACAGTATGCAGCGCCTCCATGCCCTTTATGGTGCTGAAGTTCCCTATAGAGATGCATTGATTGAATGCATTTCTATGAGGAGATGCTGGTTGGCGCTGCGTTTTGCAGCGCAGGGACAATAGCTTCTCAGTGCTTTCCTTTGCGAAAAAGCAATGGATTGGCAAAGACTATCAAGCGAGATTATCTCGGCCATAGAGGTGGGGCCAGCCAAAGGGAGGCCGGTACGGTGTGGAAAAACAAGGTAAGTATAAACGCCATTCCCATGTGATCGGAGGGGGGCTGGTCACCTAAACACACACAATTACACATACACTGACAGATACACACAAACACATTACTTGTTTTAATGCAATTCTATTCCACCCAGCCTCCCTACCTTTGGGAGAACTGGAGTGGATCTGTTTTCCCTTGGGTTCATTGGGCGGTCGGCTGGAGGACAGAGAAAGTGGGGGGCAGTTGAGGTGGTTGGGTGGGCGGTCACTAAGAGACACAAGAAGAAGCAGAGCTGGAAGATCACAGCTCACTCGCCATTCGCATACAGAGTGCAGAGACAGCCGCCTAACTCCCTGGTGCCTGGGATTTGTTGAGCCCTGGTGTAAGCTATGGAAAAAAACATTAGATGATCTGGAACGAAAGTTTACCTTGATCATTCCCTGTCCTGGAATATTTTGGGTTCATTGTAAGTTTTTTTTAGATAGAAAAGGACCCATTTTTATCAGTTGATCATCACTACAATATGCTTAAATCTTGTAGTATATTGTATGCAATATTGCACTGTATCAGAAGCTATTGGTCTCTTTTGAATTTATGGCTGAGAGTTTGAGTAAGTGCTAGCATGTTCTTACTATAGAAAGTACAAACATTGGTTTCGTGTAATTTTGTGTATCCAGAATGGCAATAATAATTCTTTACGTAGGTTTAATTTACAGTACTCGGCAAGCATTAATACAAGATAATTATACATGTTTTACGTTTTATAATATTGTCTGTTTGGTAACTAACTATATTCCGGCCTGTTTTCAGTCATCTCTAGCTTTTGTGGTTTTAAATGCTTTGTGGAAGCATTCCATAATAAATTCATATCTTGGCCTAATATAATAGGTTCCTGTGTGTATAACATTGTCATTTTGTTATTCCGTTTTCTCATGGTACTTTAGCTGTAATTCTTCCAGTTTCCATAAACACTAATCTAAATAGCTGTGGCCCCCATTATAGAGAATTCCAAACATGCTGTATGCATCTAACTTAGGTTGTCTTTACAGGTACTTGATGATGATGCCAGCACAACTGGGAAACAAAATCAGTGGCATAATAGACCTGTATGTGACTGGACTGCTCAACAAGTGTGCCACTGGCTAATAGGAATGAACATGGAACAATATATCACAGAGTTTACAGCCAAAAACGTAGATGGGCAGCAATTAATGTTGCTGGACAGTGACAGATTGAAGGTACTGTTAAATGAAAATTTGAAAATAATGAATTATTTATTAATGAAGCTTTAGAAAGTAAAACCTAAATTAATGGTAATTTAGCTTAGAACCAGAAGTGTGTTTTTGAATGTGGGCGCAGGGGATGCCTGGATTAGCCATACTTGAAATGAATGTATTTACTTTTTTTCTTTCATTCTTCTCTTCCTTCCTTTCCTTCCTTTCTTTTTTTTCTTCTGCTTTTTTCTTTTTCTTTTTTCTTTCCGTCCTTCCTTTTCCATTTTTTGGTTTGTTTTTTGTTTTTACATGCAGCATTTTATACTGCACTGATAACTATAACAGAATATGGAACTGGCTTTGTTCTAACAATGGCTTGTCCTGAAACATGACCTCATATCGGCAAATCCGAATGAGCGATTTTAATCCTAGGTGTTGAGCTCCTCAAAGAACAATTTACATAGCTAGAACAACGAACCACATATTTTGAACAAATCTATGATAAGCAAGGTAAACACATCAACAAAAATGTTGATCTTTAATAATTGAGGAAATCGGCCCAGTTCTGGAGCTGAATCTGCATCAAAGGCCCGACAAAAAAAAAACTATTTTAGCAAACAGTCTTATCTGTGACTTTGGACATTAGGAGAACAAATAAGGAATCCATCTTCTATTTGTATATTAAACCTGATCAAGCCCTATTGTTTTTTTTTTTTGTTTTTTTTACATAATTTTTATTCAAGTTTTATAGAGCTTTTTATACATAAATAGTTGGCTCGTCCAACTAAAGCTGGATGTGAGATATAGATATGTATAGATATATCGTAAACTATAACGCATACGTAAAACTAATGTATTATAGTTCCACCTGCTGGTGAAATACAGCTTCATACCAATGCATTGCTGAATTTTTTTTTTGTTATAGAGAGCATCAGAGCTAATTAACTTTAGGTAATTTAATCTATTCTGTCATTACTTTATTTAGCAAACAATTCATTGAGGTGATCTAAGAAAGGGAATTCTTGATTTACCCATATGGTTTTATAGCTACAGAACAGTACTTTTGTTTTGAAGATTCTTTAGTCTACTCATATGCTTGCCTACATTTAGCAAATTACTAAAAACAAAATGAATTAAAAAAAAAAAAAAAAATGACTCAAAAAATTGAACATTGTAGAGGTTAAATCTTTTTAAATGAGTTAGATGTTGCATCATACTAAATGGTGCTGAGCTTGTATGATCAAGATTTTATTTAATATATATTCAGTTTTTAGCCATTTGGAGCCTACATTTTGCAATTCCCTTTTTTATTTTCTTCAACTTTTTTGAAGTATAAACCATTTATACAAGGGTGAGTTACAGTGAATTGACAAATGACAAAGTGTTATAATTCTGCATTTTTTGGCCTAGATCTTGGAAATCAGTTCATTCAGCACAGTTAATTGTTCTATTAAACAAAACCTAATTAATTGTCCACTATCAAACGCAGAGGAGATTGGTGCAGATTATACTGGGATGAGTTTTAATTTTCTTTTTTTTGTTTTTGTTTTCTAAGGCACTGGGTGTTTCAAGTCAGACTGATCGAGCCACAATCAAAAAGAAAATTAAGGAAATCAAGAGAGCACAAGAAAAACTGGAAAAACAAAAGGAGAAGTTTTCTAAAAAAGAAATACAAAAACGGAGTGGCAAAGTAGTTGGTACTGTGGAGTCAAACTGCTGAGTCTTCCACACGTATCTGTATATATGTGTACAATTAAACACTATTGGACATTAACATTTATAGGCTTACATTACTGTAGAATCTGCTACCAAAAGAGATTATCTATTTCCAAGGATCATATTTCAGTAGTGTATTAAACAATAGTTATTATATTTCTACTGATTCATTAAAACCTGTCCGTCTCTAGAATTATATATTCTAAAAACATTCAAACCTTTGTTCTACAACCACTAATATAGCTTGATTGTGTTTTTTGTTTCAATTTTAGCATAAATGGATTAATAGGACTTTTTTTTTTCTCTCTCCTGATTTCCTTGATGACACCACTGGTCTGTTAGAAGGATTTCTGTCACATTAAGACCTTTACATGTTGATTTATGCTGGGAAGTGGTGATCATTTTTATCATGATCCATACCTTAACCACTTCGATGGCTAGCTTGTAAATCAGAATGGACAGCTGCTATGTGGATCGAGCCTTGTTACATTGCAAGGTCAACTACAAAACACTATGAAATGTTCAACTGTGTTAAAGTCATCTAAATGTTGCTGAATCGGAAAATGGAATGGTGAACATTCAATCCTTAACATGATTTCATTACATCGTGAAAGTCTCTTTGTAGAGTTACCATCTGGCTTTCTCTCTGTTGTGGACTATGATTTCTAACAGGTGTAAAAAGCTACATTGGCTGGCTGAATGTCATGAGAACTATAGTGCAACAACTGACGAGACAAAAGTTAGCCATCCATTCTTGCAGTGGAGATTCCAAAAATAAGCAACACTAAGAATCACAAGTTTGGCCAATGTATGATCCAAGATTTTTTTTTTGTTTAATTTCCTTTGCCTAATTTTAGAAGAGCCTTAACCTTCATTATGTCATTGCCTTCCCTTTCTGGGCACTTTACCTTGGATACCTTTTTAATGCTACACTAAGGTTTCGGTTCTTGAAGGGTCCGATAGGAATATTCATTCAGAGTCTTTGTAAAGGTGCAGCAGTATATATATATAGTTTTGCTAAATGTTAAACTAATCTAATCACATTAAATAAATTGTTGGATGTAACTATGGTACATACGAGGGAACAAAGTCCTGCAGCTAAATTGTGTTTGTGGTACGCCACTTGTTTGCAATGTTTAACCTCTTGAGTGCAAGAGAGAGAAAGTGGAATAAAGTGATGTAGTACAATTGTTGAATGCATTAGAGAGTTTGCTGAAAGTACTTTTTTTTTTTCTTTATATATATTACTGTGCATTTTACCCGTTTGATTTATCTGTAATTTAACAACCACTATCGTATGTTTCAGAGAGTCAAGAGATGCATTTGAAAGAGCTGCACTGCTCATCTGAGCATTAAAGGGCTATAGGAAAACCAATGCTTTGAATACTCCAAGACCTGTAAATGGATTGTGCTTTGCCTTAAATGACAAAGCAGTGCAGTAATACTAGTAAAATGTCACTAGTGGGAATCAGAACAGTGTTTGTGAATAACCATTTTATATATTTGCAAAGAGTACTTACAATTTTGTACTGATTTGATTATATAAATATTGGACACACAGATGTATTTTTCTTTTTTTATGGCTAGTGGTTATAAAAAAATGACATATCTAATACAGGGTGAGTAAAGCTCCGCTGTCTTATATATGCTAGTTATAGGTTTCTTAACTAAATGGTGATTTGTAGTAAATTCAAAAACCTGAATTGACAAAATTTAGGCCAAAATAGTCAGTTTTGAGGAGAAAAACCACACATAAAAATTCCTTTGGAGTTATTACAGTCTTGCTATTTTAGTCTAAATTTTGCAATTTAGTTTATTTAAATTCACAGCAATTCATCATATTGTGAATAAACCTATTGTCTTCATTACAGAGGAGCTAATTTTTTAGGTACAGGGCAAGCAGAGTTGTAAAATGTATGTTATGAACTTTTAACTGTTAAAAGTGGTTATGTCTGTGTATACAGAAAATTTAAATAACACTTGTTTGTGGAGGGCTCTGCATTTTGTTGATTGTGGACCAATTTCCTCCTTCCACTGTCTACTTACACTAAATTGAGTCCTGTTAAAAAAAAAAATCATGAAATCACTTAGATTTTGTAAAGAAAAGGTGTTTTATATAATAAAACTGACCAATTTTCTGAGTTGCTGTTTGCTTGAATTTACATTTAATGCTTGTCGTTTTAAATAATTTGGCTTTCGAACAACAAATGATACCACACAATAATTTTGAATAAAATTCATTGCTCTATTTAATAATTCATAAATTTTTACAAGTATAGTAATATTTAAGTATATACAAGAAAAGAGTAAGAAAATACTTAGTAGAAATAATATCCTGTGACAACCAATGTTACTCCATGTATATATAAATCCCTATATAAATCCAACTTGCTTATTAACAATAATGCTAAACTGCATTAATATATCTGAGAGTACAGATTACCATCTGAAAGATTTTTGAAAAAAATGCAAAAGAGAGAGAAATCAATAAAGAAATGTATATACAGTCCCAGTGTGTACACACTATAATGTTTTGGGTGGATCTCACCAAAATTTCCGTAGACACAGGTCCTGTTTCAGGCAAAGTTGTAATATGCACACATAGATGGTGAACTGTCCACAGTATCTCTGTGGATTTTGTAATCCTATTATTTCTTCCTGGGTGTATATATGATCTCCCCGTTGTCAGTGAGGTACCGGGCGTCTTCTTTAAATGTCGGTGTAGGGTCGAGGGCTGCGCGCTCGGGACCTTGATAGCTATGGACAGTTCACTTATTCTTTTCTTGTATATACTTATAAAATTAATGAATTATTAAATAGAGCAATGAATTATATTCAAAATGTTTCTTCTTGAATCTGCCAGAAAATAACACTCTCTGAAATAGAATTCACTCCAATGCTTTAAGGGTGCAGTTCATAAGTTAGTGCTTTCTTGATTCTCAAAACTTGCGGCATCAAGAGAATCAACTATGGAAACAAAAGTTGCAGAAATTTAAAGCGGCACTGTTTTGCCGAACTTGTCTTTCCTGGAAATAGTTTTACTGCATGCACTTTGGCAGAATTAAAAAATATTTATTGCATTGTTTAACGAGAATCTGGCATTTTCTACAAATGTCTTATGTTTTATATGGAGTGTTAAACTTTCACTAGTTAAAGCAACAATGTCACCTCCCCTGAAAAATTTCATTAAGATAATCTTTAGTAAATAATTCTTGACGTTTGTCTCTGTATATTTCCTATGCCTGACACTTCTAGACGGTGGTAGCTCCGCCTAATGTTTAGAAGTGTTAATCCCTTCAGCTATCACCATTGATGGTTAAGGGGAATTGGCTTTATCTGTGGAGAATCCCGTGGGATCCTCTACAGTCCTCAATCCTGTACTCTCGCGCATACACGTTTTTCAGTAGTGATGCTGGCTCCTGGTGCTAAAGTGGACCCACCAGGTTAACATGGCAGCATATGTGGACAGTTTTCGGTAAGTAAATATTTACCTGGCCCCCCATAGCGGCGATGTCACTGTCAGTCTCTGCAAATTCTGCCAAGACCCCACCCTGTGACAGTGCTGCTTTAAGCTCTCCACATTTCTAATGAATAATTTAATTTTTTTAAATGGTTGTGTGAAGAAATAATTCAATAAGTGCTTTAGAGCAGCCGAATATAAAAATACTTAAAGGGACACTATAGTCACCAGAACTACGGCTTATTGCATTTCTTCTGGTGCGTGTAATCATTCCCTTCAGGCTTTTTGCTGTAAACACTTTTCAGAGAAAATGCAGTGTTTACATTACAGCCTATAGATAACTCCACTGGCCACTCCCCAGACGGCTCATAGGTGCTTTCTGGGACAGTCCTCCTTCTGCATGTAGACACTGAACTTTCCTCAGAGATGCATTGATTAAATTCATCTCTAAGGAGCTGCTGATTGGGCAGGACTGTGTTTGAGGCTGTGTCTGCCTCCTTGTCAGTCTCAGCCAATCCTACGGGGAAGCATTGTGATTGTCTCAGACCACCACTTCTGATGATGTCAAAGGCAGAGCCAGTAGCTGCAGACATAAATACAAGTAAGATATATTTAGGGTGGCTAGATGGTGGTTTTAACACTAGGGTCAGGAATACATGTGTTCCTGACCCTATAGTGTTCCTTTAAGTTTAAGAATTGCCCAAAACATATGTACAAAAAAAGTTAGATTCAAAAAGATCATGACCTTTACACCAGCTTAATAGTTTGCAAAAGCGTGACTGACAGAAGAGAACAATTTAATATATATTTATTAAAGGACCCTAAGCACCCAGACACACACTCTCCTTCCCCCTCCCCGCAGCTGAAAGCATCACTGTTCCTTATCAGTTGTATTTCTAATGCGATAGTGTGCCTTTAAAATTGATTTATAAACAGTTTAACATTAAAGCAACATGTCAGAAATAAAAGCACAAGACAGCTACACTTAGTTTTTATATTTTATTTCAAGTGTTTCTAGAAGCATTATTTTTAACACATTGCATGCATTAAAATATTCAATATATTTACAGTGTTTCCCTTTGATGCAACCTCAAAAAAATAAAAAGGATTCCTCCAGTACTGACAACTTATGCATTTTATTTTTTCAATAAAACACGTTGTAGAGGTTGTGTTTTAAAGCAGAAGACGTAAATATCTGACCATTACATTCACTTAAGTACCAAGTAACCAAAAAAAAAAAAAAAAAAGTGGATAAATATTCAACGGGCACTTCTTGTTCTGCTCTGCTACTAAAAACACATTTGCAAGGATTAAGAAAACCAGTAATATATCTTGTTACTCCATTTATAACAGTAGTAAATAAGAATACTTTATTCACTAGACCAGGAACTGTGAAGAATGGAAAAAATACCAGACCTGAAAAACAAGTTTGGTATTTTTTCCAATTTGTCTGGCTTGTGTAATGTCTCAATTTTACAGAATTCCATGTTTACTAAATAAACCCTTGGAGAGTTATACTTTAGGATGAAACACAGTTGGAGAAATTCTTCAATGCCACATTGACCAGAACTTACACTTTGTTGACACTTTTAGAACTGGCTGAATAAGCAGCCTTCTGTGATCTAATTTATAACCTGCGTTTCATAGATTGCCTAACAGAATGTTCTAAATTGCATTGTAGTAAAAATGTTTACATTAAATAGAAACCAGATTGATAATCTCCACCCATGCACAAAAAGGATTAAAGAATTCTTAACTCTATAAATTAAATTTAATATAAATACTGGCAGATTACATACAAAATACCAGAGTTTCCAATACAAGTCTACTCACTTCCAAATGAAACCTTTTTGAAAGAGAGGCCGTTAAACATTTACGTTTATTATTTACAATTATTACAAAGATTTAGTGCAAGTGTTACTCTAGTCACAAATACGTTACGAAGTCTGTATATGCATCTTAATGTTCCAAATAAAAACATTAAGTCAATGTGAAATGGCTACACATTAATACATAACATTTTTATTAATTCTTTCCAATTTAACACCGTGCTGGGAAATATTTTTTTTTAAAAATTGTTCAAGTGGGTGAAGCAGTGCTTTAGGTAATTAAAAAAAAATAAAAAATAATTTAATTTCTACAGTAGAACACTAACAAACTACAACTCCCATACATCCTTGGCATGCCTATTAAGAATTGCCTCTGGCACAGTATTAGCAAGGCTACAGAAAGTTAAGTGAGCATCACTGATTGAGAGAGTCTCTTCTTAGTTTTGTGAAAACACTGCAATCGCTGCAAAGGCTGGGATTTGCAGCAAATGCAGTAATCATTAGCACACAAACACTTTAATTTTTTATTCTGAGAAACACGAGAACATACAAACACCAACATGCCAAAATCCTTTCCTTTAACCCCTTAAGGACACATGACGTGTGACATGTCATGATTCCCTTTTATTCCAGAAGTTTGGTCCTTAAGGGATTAAAAAAAAAAAAAAGCCACAGAAACATTTGAAATTATCTGCTGATGTGAATACATATGCTGTAGCCATAGGTGGCAATAGTCCACTTCAGAATGTAATTTTATATGCGTAAATTATTTCATAAAATACTTTAGATATTTCCCCAGTGATTTCCAAATATATTTACAACATGTATACAATGGGTAAATCATTGTTACAGTATACCTTATGCAGCAGGAAGAATTCAAATACTTGGGGAAAATACCTAATTTGTTTGTTACATTTTAATTATATAGCCCACACTGGTGCAAAGAATGATACAAAAATCTACAAATTATTTCATCAATACAATGTGCGATATTTCAAGAGGGAAAACATTTAATCTTTGTCCTGAGCAGAAGACCCAATAGAGTGGTGAAATCTAGTACAGACATCACAAAATTATTTCTCATATACCCCTCATGCGCCACACAATTTAAGCTTGTTAGATTGAACATAAGGTTTTTCTCTATACATTGTTCTAGCAGTTTTGCTAGTAAAATGTATAGATTAGGAGAATCCTATTTGAAATTAGTTTGCCTGACCAAGGAGAGCAGAAAAGACCTCACACAGGAGGTTCCTTCGATCTCCACCCATAGCGCACACAACACATGCGCTGCCGTTGCTATGGAAACTCCCTAGCGGAGTATAGGAACAGTCACGTGACAGCACTCCATTCAGACATCCCTGATGAGATTTGCCCTGGCAGGGCAAATCAAAGAAGAACAGAGGTGGACAGCCAGGAGGTGGGAGTTACACAAAGCGTAACATCCATGAAGCCGTGCTGGAACGGAGAAAAAGTGAGTAAATCTTTATTTTACATTAATTATACAATGTATCTTTAGGATGATGGACACACACACACACACACACACACACGAGAACTATTTACACAAACAGCATAGCATTTAAACCACACCGACCAGGCTCAAAGGAAACTAACTGTATGCACAGAAAAATGGCCTAAAACAGTCAGATATACAAGTACCCCTCTTTGGCACTTCATGGAGATCATTTTGCCACCAGATTGGTCAAGGCACACAGACTATGAACATCCCCCTTCTTACACATACGTGTCAAACTGCAAGATGCACAATAACGTAACATTTTAGAGGATCATAAAATCCCTGTGTACAGATTGTGGGTACACCAAACATATAATCAAGTTTTAGGACTCTTGCAGTTTGTATGCATCAGTCATGGGGTGGGAGGGAATAAATAAATTACAAGATTGCACTCTAAACAATGAGTAATTTTAGTTACACACGTGGGTTTATTGACAAAACCCCACATTATAGTGAATTGAAATCCACATTGTGGAACAAAAACAGCCAATTTAGAAAAATAAATGTACTTCTACGGCCTGGCAGTTCAGATTTTAATAAATAATACCTTATACTGTGAGTTGCCAGGAAGTTAACTTGTAGAGCTTCTGCACCCACCCAGATCCTTTTAGTTTGAAATTCATTTTTCACTACAGTTAACATTAGTAAGGACACCTGTTAAACAGGCACAAACTCACAATGCACCACTTAACATCCCAGAGAACACAAAGTATACAGAGTCATGGGATGACAGCCAGAGTACTGTGGCTGGACAAGAAAATATTAAGTTATATATAATTACATAGATCTCTAAATATAAATTAGACGTCTACGCATCTGCAGACAATTACAATATGATGTCCCAATTTTATTCATTAAAAGCGGAGTATGTGTGACTTGCAAGTTTCACTTTACAAATACTTGTTACACACGGGGTGGGAGAACATTATTGCAATATTTAATAGCCAGTGTTATTTTAATAGCATATACAAACCAAACAATCATAAGGAACAGAAGAAATATATTGAGATTTTTTTTTATTATTTGCTCTATATATTTTTCTTCAAACTGGTTTATCAGTGAGTCGTGTAGCCTTGAATGTGTTTTCCCGCGTAATCATGACACATGAAAGCTTAGGCCGGGTACCTAAATTTTTGTAGGGTTTGTAACAAATTGTCAACAGTAACATGTAAATCCAGCATAAGCCAGCCCAGAATGTGCGTTCCAGGCAGCTTGTTAAACCTGTGCATAAAATGCAAAGATGGCATGTCCCCCATCTGTGCCATGCTAAGCTTTCCTTCAGCCCTGTCTCTACAACAGAACAGAAGGTGGATCAGGCTGCAACCGGAAATTGGTCCTCAGTGCTGGATTACAGGGGAGTATGGATGAGATACATGCCAGTAAGGAATACTCTTTTGCTAGAACACCTCTGTTCTAGAGCTTAAGATGGATAAAGGATAAGTCAGCAGTTCTGACAACATATGTACAGTACAAAGTAATGTACATATGTTGAAAACAAAAACCAGCAAGACCTCTCTATAGAGTTTCCTATTAATTATCTAGTTTTCTAAAATCTGAGGGGGGAGCGGGGTGTATCAAATAGACACCAGGCTATAATTAATGCTTAATCATACATTAACTGCATTAAAATATGATTTTGAGGCATCAGAATTAAAACAAATACAACAGAAAAACATTTTACATTAAATTAAAAAATATAAAATAAACATCATATATAAAAACAGGACAGTATTTTGGAGGTATTCACTAAATAAAAGAAAACCGGGGCATTAGTGTAGTATAAAACACATGCTACATCATTAAAAACAGGGTGATCATATATTTCTAAGAGGCCTTAGAAACAGGACATAACTTATTAGAAAGTAGGCAACGTAAAGTAACTCAATCATTTCAAATCTGATAAAGTATGGATCTATAGAACAGACAATAAAATATGTCCATAGAGTAAAAAGGAAAATTGCATACACTAAAACCCTGCAACATTGATGAAGCTGGGATGTGTTTAAATAAAAACAAACCACTTTCAAAATAAATCATAAGAAAATGAGAGATGAGTGGATCTCAGGCGCTTCTTAATACAGAAAATATCGCCTGTTTAAGATTTACAAATGAAAGTTAAATGCAGCTATGGAAAAATATATAAATTAACAACTAAAAATGTATACAGCTTAGTATTTCCAATATCCTAATTTAAGCAAATCATATGTTTGTGCATGGTGACACAAACACATACAGTGATATGTATAAATAAAAAAAATAAAAATTTAAAATCAATTTTTCAATATTTTTTTTTTCCCCTAGCCGGTTACAGGAAGCCCCTTTTTCAACATTTGTTCCCAAGAACCATTCCAGAACTGGAACAGATACAAGACAAGAGATAGCCAAAAAAGATAGATACCCAGCTATTGCAGAACTACAACAACCATGATTCTTTGCCAGCCCCAAAGCAGAACTACAGAGATTTTTATTTTTCAAAACTCGACAATCAACTTAAAGCTAACTACAGTTGTGCTTTTATTTAAAAAAAATAAAAATAAATCTCTGTAGTTTTAATTTTGGCATGCAAGGCCTGAAAAATTATGTACGGATGAGTTTGATACTACTGAAGAAATGCTCAAGTACACAATCACATATATGACATTTCTGTGCAGATACTGGATGCATATGAGCATTAAAGGTGACAATGTCACCCTGAACACAAGTGCTACAGGAGGTGCTGGTTTTACTTAAAGGACTATCTTTTGGCCAACCCTAATATAGAGGGGTACTGGCTCTCCCAGCAAGTAGAAAAAAAAAATAAACATTATTTGAAATTTGTGTGAAGAATGGACGTGTTCACATACATTTATGAATGTAGCAAAATATAAGCTGAAGTATTCATTTGCACTTGGTGGGTAACATTTTTGAAAAAAGATACATGATGAAAAACACCAGGTTCAAAGAGGATACTGGTTGTGGTTCAAAGTTTTAGAGAATCAACTGCTGCGATAAGTAGTCATATCCTTGGGCTCACTACTAGGTACACACCAATCATCTGCTTCTTGGTTTGTTTTGTAATGCTTCCATACAGATTTATTGTACACAGGAAGTCTCTCCACTGAATCAGTTGATAAAGCCTGTTGGAATAAAGCAAAAATATTATAATATAGACGATCCAAGAATTGCCAACCTGAAGCTCCCCAGTCAGTTGTTAAAGGGACACTATAGTCACCAGAAAAAAACTACAGCTGAATGTATTTGTTTTTGGAGAGTATAGTCAGTCCCTGCAGGCTTTTCACAGTAAACACCGTCTTTTCAGAGAAAAGGCAGGGTTTACATGATTAGCCTAGGAACACCTCCAGTGGCCACACATCAGATGCTACTAGAGGTGCATCCTGGAGCAGTGTGCAGCACTGACATTAAGTGTCTCCACCCTCTGCATGGCGACACTGAACTTTCCTCATATTGATTCAATTAATCTCAATTATGAGATGCGGATTGGTCAGGGCGGTGTTTGGCTCTGCCCCCCTCCTTAGTTGAGATCATCAGAATGGAAAATCTCAGTCAAATTTCCTATGGGAAAGTATTGTGATTGGCCGAGTTCATCACTTCTGTTGATGTCAGCCAAGAAGGCAGGTTAGGGGCAGAGAAAGCATACGCAAACTAGGATAAATGTAAGATTTTACTATATTTAGAAGAGGAAGGGGGAAGGGGTCTAGATAGTGTTTTTAACACTATAAGTTCAGGAATACATGTTTGTGTTCCTGACCCTATAGTGTTCCTTTTAGCTTTAACTCCTTTTTATCAAGCCCCCAAAGGCAATCTTACTTTCTCAGCACTCCCAATAGAGCTGTGCAAAAACATACTGCATGTCCTTGATGTAAGTTAACAGGAGCATGAACAGAGATGGAATTGCATGGGAGTTAAAGCTATTAAAAGGGAAACTCCAGTGCCACGAAAACCCCCCAAACCCCGGTTGCTGAAGGAGTGAAAACCCCTTCAGTAACTTACCAGAGGCGGCGATGTCCCACGTCACTGCTTCTTCCTCCGCCGCCGCTCCTCCCTGTGATTGCGTCGGCTGGTGGGAGAGACTGATCCCGCCCACCGGCCGAGGAGACCTAATGCGCATGCGCGGCAATGCCGTGCATGCGCATTAAAGCTCCCCATTAGAGAGCATTGAAAATGCTTTTCAATGCTTTCCTATGGGGAAATGAGCGACGGTGGAGGTCCTCACACAGCGTGAGGACGTCCAGCGACGCTCTAGCACAGGTTTCCTGTGCTAGGGACACAGAAGTGCCCTCTAGTGGCTGTCTAGTCTAGTAGACAGCCACTAGAGGTGGAGTTAACCCTGCAAGATAATTATTGCAGTTTATAAAAAAAAACAAAAAACTGCAATAATTACACTTGCAGGGTTAAGAGTAGTGGGAGTTGGCACCCAGACCACTCCAATGGGCAGAAGTGGTCTGGGTGCCTGGAGTGTCCCTTTAAGTTATAGAAGACTTCTGGAACACCCCAACCCATGTTTACTCCCTCTAGTTGCAGAGAATCTTGCCCAATCTTTGTACATTATTTCTAGCCAGTTATACCTTACCTTAATGTATATTGCAGCATCCGTTCCATAGCCCTCCAAAGAATACAGTTTCAAATCTCCTTGAAAATATTGCGCATAAAGACGTGATATTGGCAAGCCATATCCAAACCCAGCCTGTCAAAACACAAACAGAAAAAAAAAAAAAATGTAAGTTCTACATTCTGTTAATATATTAATTATGCTGGGCATAGGATTCCGCAGTGTTCTACAAAGGGTCTTAAATAAGGTAGTTATTCAGCATTACCTAAAGCGGACAGTAAAAACAAACAAGATCGGTCCCCTTTAAGGAATATGTGATATTCCTGCTTGCGCTCTCACTGACTCAATATGCTATATTTATCTCTCTGCATGATAAAGTGTAATACCCAATCTTTAGACCTCTACAAAAAATAGTTAGCCTTCTCTTGGAGACATTTTCTTTCTCCATTCCATTTTTTTTTAATCAGGGACAATAAATATAAGATATCATTCCTCTCCTATGTATTTTATCCTTAAGATGAGCAATTGTATTTGTATCATAAAACTGGCTAAACATGATGCACCTATTGTTGGTTATGTAAACACAAACACACCCTGACGATGGTGAATTTAAACAAGGGTTTATTCACTAAACAGTGGCATGTTGAAAACTGTATTGGAAAATGTAGGCATAAAGTGCTAATTTGAGAGGGAAAAAAATTTGAAATCTAAAAATAAATAAATAAATAAAAAACCATCACCTAATGATCACTTCTTGGCAAGTTCAGCAATCTGGTATAAAATTCACTACAGTTGCTTGAATTGGTGTGTAGGAAATGAAACACTGAATTTGAAACCATCTCCAAATTTGAAACAGTTAATTCCCTTTTATGCAGAAAAACTTTAGCTATCCTTCAGGTAGACATAGTGACATGACGCCTTGTGATGATGCATCGCTTTTATAAGACCTGGAAACAATTCTGTGCATGTCAAGGTCACTGTGGACATTTCACATGATCAAATAGTAATGGGATCTGTTGGGAGCAGAGAGAGAAAGATAGATATACGGCCACATGCTAAGCTTTCAGTAACTACAGAGCAAAGTCCCAAAACATTTCTCTTAACATGACCAAGCAATTACTTTTTATTTTCGTGATGTAAGGAGAGATCAGATGGCATTGTGTCCCTTAATAAATTAATCTCTTAGAGCCTACTTAGGCTAAAAAAGTAAAACACTGACTTTACAGGGAGCTGTCACTTGTCTGAAATTACACCATTCAACAAAACCCATGACATGATCCATTTTCATTTAAACTTGGTAAAGATTTAGAAAGGACATCAGACAAGATGTAGCCAGAGCCAACATTGGAAATAATGAGGAGAGATACAAACTATGTTCCATTCTTTCTCTAGATTGACTTCCAGGTGCAAAGGACAGAGTTTATAACAATTATTGACAGGGAGCCAAGATAGAGGCACTCATTTACAATATAGAGGTCTGGATTTCCAAGTGTAAACATATTTTTTCTTACCTCAAACACTTATTTGTTAATATATAGATAAGAAAACTGATTGACGGAACACTAGAAAATCTATTATTTACCCTTCCTCCATTGCCGCACTGGTCTCACCGCATCCTGCCCCACCTCCAAGGTGGAGATCATGAACCTTGATACACTCGGCCTATCCAAAGCTTTCCCATAGCATTGGGAGGCTATTGTGAAAATGTGGCAAAACACTGTGCTGCACCAACCAACATCTTCTAATAGAGATGCTTTGAATCAATGCATCTCTATGGGGAGCGTTTAGCATCTCGATTTAGAGCATGGAGACGTTGAACGCATGTAGCAGTGAAATAGGCAGCACCTTTCTTGGTCATCTGAGTGACAGGACCTAAGGGAGTTACTAAGCAGCAATGTAAATGCTGCCTTTTTCCTGAAAGGGCAGAGTTTATATTGCTGAGCCTGCAGGAACATGTTATAGACACCAGAACCACTACATAAAGCTGTAGTGGTTCTGGTGACTATAGCGTCACCAAAACTACACCATGGTTTAGAGGATAGGTGTTAAATGCCAATTATTTAGCTAGAACAAAATAAATATCAACTAACCAGTGGTGTAGCACGCGAAGTCTCAAATCTAGGAAGTGGAGCTGTAGAGTACATGTAGTTGAACAATCGGTCAATCTTCCTAAGGGGTACACCACCCCCAAGATCACTCATCTGCAGAAAAATAAATAGCACATGAAGCATTGCAATTACAGGGATATCATGGTGTGAATTATACATCAATACTGGATTTAAGTAAAAATGGTCCTTTACAAAAAAAAAACCAACAAATTAGTAAATTGTCAAATTGGACTGCATGGTCACTAAAAATGTTAGTTTTTCCATACATCCCATTAATTTGGCTTTAAGGTGCTTTATTCATAATTTTGTTAATATAGGTTTGACTGCCATTTATTAGAAAATATGGCTCATTTGTATAATATATGGTCCAAGTATGCAGTCTGAGCAGATAATTACATTCAAAGTCTGTCAAAGTGAACAAGATCGGGATCAGTTCTTCAGCTAGGAGTGCGTGATAATACAGGGTCACATTCAAACTACCAATCCCGCATGGGGGATGGTTGTTCGGTCCACTGGCCAAGTCTCTTTCAGTGTGAAATACACCTGACCTTGGCCATAGACTAAATGTTCTGCAGTTGTGAAAGTTTAATTTTAACAGTCAAAAAAAACACAACTCATTTCTTTTTACATTGTCTATAATTTGTTCTATATTTCCATCTTAAATTAAAAAAAAAAAAAATATATATATATATATATATATATATATATATATATATATTTCCATTTGTCTGTCATCCCTACATTAACAAAATAAGTCATTACAAGTGCTCTAAAATGTTAGCCAAAATATAGTTACCCTAATTGTCAAATCTTCATTGCCCAAGGCCACATGAACCTTCACTGGTGGGTAGTTCCCACTTTCCGCATAGAACTCAATTGTGGCTCTCATAGCATTCTGGAAAATAAACAATTTCATTAGACCCAATTACAATTCCATCTATGGGTAGAATGGAAAAATAACCTTTATTGAATGTAGAGTATTTAATGCAAATGAAGTTATTCTGATTGGTCTATTTTCCCATTTTGTGTGCAAGTTGTTCAACATGATTGGATAGCTAAGGTTATGCTCCCTTTTATTCTGTGATTGGTCGATGTAGCAAATGAAAGACAGGTGAATGACCTACATATGCCCTAACCCATAACAAGCTGTAGCATGCAGGAATATAAGTGCTACATTTATATAAAATTAAACTGATGGGTGCTTTTATTTACTCTGCTGCATATTTGGCTTTGGTTTCATCATACAGGCAGATTTATTTATTTTAAACAATCAACAGCCAGTAAGGCAGTATTAAAGGGATTCTCTAGTGCCAGGAAAACAAACCCTTTTTCCTGGCACTATAGAATCCTACAGTGCCCCCCTACCTCGCGTCCCCCATCCCATGTTTCTTAACTAAATCCAGCGCTGATGTCCCTAGGCTCTGGGTCAGGCTCCACCCCTGCTGACGTCAGCCGGCGGGGGAGACCTAATGCACATGCGCGGCAATGGCCATGCTCGCATTTGGATTTAATGTTTTCCTCGAGCAGAGCATGAGGACGTCCAGCGTCGTTTAGACAGCCACTAGGAGGACGACTTCACCCTGCAAATGTATTTATTGCAGTTTCTCAGAAACTGCAATAATTACCACTGTAGGGTTACGTGATATGGGACATTGCACACAGATCACTTCAATGAGCGGTGTCCCTTTAAAGCTATGCCAGCAAATGAAAAAGAAGTGTATGGATGTTAACAGACTACAGGATACACATTATGATCACCACAAAGCGTAAGCAAGGTTAGCCTAGACATTAGACAATATATAGTCACTTTTCTGGGACTTCCACTTACCTTGAAAAGTTCAAACACCATGTGGTATAGATGTGATGGCACATACACCACTTGGATAGTCTGTCCTGGATTTTCAGCTGCAAAAAGAAACAAAACCACAAAAAACTAATTGAATAAAACAGATACTAAAACTGTACAACATGCCATGGAATGGATTAATAATCAAGCAGGTAGTCAAGGACAAAGTAAACATTAAACTGGTACTGCTCTCATGTTTAAACATTTAACAAGGGTGTCCTTCTGGAGAGAGTAACTCACTAGTGTCCCTCACAATTGCATGTTAAGTTATATATGAAATTAATGAACTTAAAATCCTTATCATATTTTATATCACACACAGAATTAATATCTCACCATTAAACTCTGTTAGTTCTAATTGCGGGGAGTGCATGTAATACAGGTCACACAGGTGTTTAGCATTCTCATATCCATCTAAAAATAAAATAAGCACAGTTGTCAAATCGCATTACAGCACAAAAATAATAAAAATCGGAATTATTATTTTTTACCAGATACAACCAGAACCATGCAGCAATTTATACTATACTTTGTGACCGATTAACCACGGTACTCTGAAAAAGCTAAAATAATTAAAGGGACATTCCAGGCTGAAGCCAAATCTCACTTTAATGCACTATATAAATAATACATTGACATGGAAAATTCAAATCATACTTGTGAACACTTTGAAAAGACACTTTTGACATTGGTGCATCCACTGCATCCCTACAATAGGTGTCGCTTTCTGCAGCAAGCTCTGCCATCCAAATATTAACAATACGAGTTAGGAGTCTATTCCATAAAGCTCTGCTCACCGGGTTATTTTATTTAGTTCAGCAGAACACAATGTGGATTGTGCTACATGCTGTAAGTAACATGGAAAGAAATGGGTGCAGTCTGACTGCCATGTGGCTACTGAGTATCCAAGTTGATGCACAGAACTAGAGTAAATTTGTCAACGCCGGCTTACAGAGTTGGTGAAAAAGCACCCCTGAGAGACATTAATCCGGCCCTCATTATAACTTGATGGAGGCCTGTAATAGGAGAGAAGGAACGGTTTGAAGTAATGTTTGTTGTACAGAAGGCATGCCTCTGCTTGGCAGCAGCAATTGGCAGTGAAGCATACCCTGCCTAGCTCAGCATGTCCTGGCACAATGCCAACTTATGGCAACACCCATTAACCTTGCATGATCTTTTTGCAACCAGAGAAGTTGTCCTACATAATTCAGGCTGCAGACCTATCAATTGCTTTATTTTTAAAAAGAATCTAGTAATAATGTTACAGAAAAAGAAAAATTTGTAAAAACTTCTGAACGTGTGATGATTTAACACTGTGCATAATTTTCACCAGTTCTTCTGGTTTCCAAAGCACTTTCTAAATAGTATGCTGGAGGCGTTTATAAACACTGCAAGGCATACAAAAACACAGATACAAACGGTGACAAAAACACAAAAATAATGGATCAATGCCCAGAAAAGTGTCAGGCATTTTAAAAACAATTTACAAAGTTGCCAGGTAAATTTCATGCTTAATGTTTTTTTTTTGTTTTGTTTTTTTATTTAAAGCATAAAGGAACGCACGAACAGGGAACTGATGCATCCATATTCTTCTAACTGAAAGTAGTAACAAGACACACACACAAAAAAAAAAATAAGTCACTAGTTTTCAACCACAATATATAAAATATTTATCTTAATCTATGCCTTTACAGAGCCATTTGAAAAAAAATACCACAATATATAGGTACAACAAGCATTAAGTGCCAAAAACTAGGCGTTATGTAGCAATAAATAGTGGTTTGCATAAATTAAATCCCAACATGAAGCTAGTATATATTAAATAAATAGCTGACAAGTCAGTGACATTTCCTTCTGCAGGGTGTCTAAGTTGCACCCTCAGTGTCACGGAGTAAGGCTTTGATAGTCAAAAACTACAAACCCAGGAAACCTATTTTCTAAATTTACCTAGGCAAAAGTATAATTGTGTCCAAAAACTCTTGCAATATGCCAATAACCATATCATTATGTGGTCAGCTTGTGCAGTACGTTTAACCCCTTAAGGACACACGACATGTGTGACATGTCATGATTCACATTTATTCAAGAAGTTTGGTCCTTAAGGGGTTAAAGAGTTCAAGCACCATGACCTCACTGATTGGAAGTGGTTATGGTGCATGTATGTGCAGTGTTTCCATAGAAAACACTGAACATACACCATTTAACCCCTTGCTGCCTAAGGTGTACCTTCATCTCCAGCAGCATCATTGGGGCGTCGTTAGCCAGCCCAGAACAAGGTCAGCAGAGGAGGACTGGGCTGCATGTAGAGCTTGGCCTCTACAGTGAAATGGAGGAAAGTTTGTTTTAATTTTGGGGGACTATGCCAGCAAGGCTTACTCTGACCAAAAACACTTTTATGAAAGTGGATGCTATAGGCATCAATACAAAACTAGCTTAATTAAATAGTTTTAGTGTATAGATAATGCAATGCAGTCTCACTGCTCAATTCTCTGCAATTTAGGAGTTAAATCATGTTTCATTAAGCTAAAGTTGATATGATGACTATAGCGTCTCTTTAAAATGCAGATTTGTAAATCTGTGCATTTCCTATTTCTTAATATGTATTTGCCTCCAACCATATTCTAGGGACAGAACCAATCATAAATAAATAAATAAATAAATAAAAATAATTTACCTTTAATAACTTCAACAACATTACAAGCAGGATCAATGCTGCCAATATATTTTGGATGCGCAGGATTAACCTTCATTTTCCCACCAAAAAGCAATGCTGAAATGTAAACAGAAAAACAATACATCAATTTAAAACTAAAATTAACAAAACAAGGTGTTCAAGCAGGTCCAAACCTTCAGTTGTTTGTCACAATCATCAGCACTAGGAACTATCCACATGCTCACATCTTTAAGTGTGTCAAATGCATATGTTTGCACCTTGAAACAGTCTTTTAGTATAGGAAACATAGCAGAACAGAGTGCAGAATCTCATATAAACTGGACAGATTGGGGGAGAAAACTGCAGTTTACAAAAGTACATGGAGGATTGTAGTAGCTAACAGAATAAATGAAATGTATACATTTACATAAACATATGGCTATTTAGAATCATTGGTTATAGTACACCTCTCAGTTCATTCAATAAAATGACAGTATCCAGATACGTACTGTGTTGATTAAGCAGCATTCTAATCGATATGCGACTCATGAAGAAACGATCTAAAAAATACTGGACATTCTGTGACGTTACTGGATCAGCTCCAAAACTGTCTTTATATTCAACAACTCCCTGTGCCATCGTTGGGACCACATCATTGTGCCGATTTCGGACCGTTATCACAGTATCTGTAAAACTGAAAAAAAAAAAAAAACACAAAATACTGGTAAACACATTGAAAACTTTTAAGCTCTTGCAATGCATATCAGCGCTGCAGAATATGTTGGCACTTTATAAATACCAGGAATAAATGCAAAGAAAAAATAAATTACACAGCATATTAAAAAATACCATATGTAAAAAGTCATTTGGAAAGCTTGTCTAACAATATTAAATTGAGGTATAAGTTGGAAACCAAAACGATAAAAAAAATAAAAAAAATAAAATAACTTCATGTTGTAGGACTCATTTCTACGATACGCATTATAGTCTATTCTCTCATTATATATCTCACAGCTTATATGTCTTTCTATGCACTACAAAATAAAAAAATATTTAAAAATAATTAAAATAAAACCACTCTTGGAATGTAGAGCAGCATAGAAATCGGACTCGTGTACTGAACATCCTACTTCAATGATTAAAAGAACAAACCAGCCATCAGAGCAAATCGGATGAGAGCACTCATCTTTGTCCCCAAAGCTTGCCTTGCAACAGCAAGGTATAGTCTTCAAACCATGTCATACCACACAACAAAAACAAATGGTAATACATTGCAATAAAACCTTGGGTACTCATATTATTCATTCACTGATTTACAAAAAAAAAAATGAAAAAAAATCCTGGGCGGCAGCAACGACCATAGTACACATCAGCCCCAATACATATAGTAAAAACCAAAGAAAAAAAAAAAAAAGGTTACCTGCGCTCTTCCCAAATCCCTATGCATATTTAAACAAATGGGAGGTTATTAGAGAGATCTTTGCCAGAAGCTCAAGGAAGCAAGGTGAAAGGTTAGTGTAGGACCCACCCGAGAGGCTTGCCTTGACGTGGCAGGTGGGCTAAACTCTCTCATGGCCATTGGAGAAACTAAATAACCTCCATTTGTTTAAATATGCATAGGAATTTGGGCAGAGAAAAAAAAAATTAAAAAAAATTATTTGGTTTTTACTGTATACATTCATTCTCAAAAATGTGCTGGCTTTAACAGAATATTAGTTAAACGATGGTAATCAAAAAATTCACTTACTCCCTGATTGATTCTGGCTCGTCAGGATTTCTGTCTTTAAAATCAGTAATCTCTTGAAAACTCTGACTATACCTGCAAGAAACAAATTATACAATACCTTGTTTAGACTGAAAATATTTAACGTATGTAAACACAAAGGCACTGTTACTTCCTACATAGCAAGGACAAACATGTTAAGCAGATTTAAACAAAACAATTCCCTATTTCATAGCTTTATAAAGGCAAACACTAGGACTTGTGTGAATGGTTTATCTATATACTGCTTTGATCAGGAGAGATCTCTTAAGATTTTCTGAAGCCAATTACCCACACTATGGTAAGATATTGCAGTCATTCTAAGAAGGAAAGGTTTTATTCTAACATTGCGCAGGAGTGTTTAATGGGGTACTCCCAAACCCCCACCCCCAAAAAAAACACACAAAAAAACACATTGTTTACTCAAAACAAAAACTGTTTTTATGAAACCATTGCTGACATGGTTAGCCACATGGTCCACCCTTGCCAATCTATTTTGTACAATAAATAAGGAGGTGAAATTCTCAATTATATTGGTGATAATTTGAGTGACAATAGAGCTGAAATTTAAGACAACACTTAAACACTCTTTGCAACATGGCCACTACAAGAAGCCTACTGGTTAAGATGCTTAGAGTGTTCACTTTAACCCTTTTAAAGGGTTACTACAACAACCATGACCACTTTCGCTTTTAGAAGTGGGTGGGTGTTAGGAGTCTATATATGCAGCATTTCTATTCCAGGCTACCGAACGTCAATTCTGTGCACAAATTATATCTGCCTTCAGCTTGCAAAGATGTTAGAGGCTGCTATCATTGCAGGCAGTGCTTGTAAGGAAAAGCTAGAATGTGCCCTCCCTCCACCTGTACAATCCTTACCAATCTCGCTTTGTTTTTTGAAGTTCTGCTTTTGTTTTTGTTTTTGTTTTTATGTAAAGCACTCAAACTCTTTCCTGCTCATACACCCCTTTCCCCCACCCAACCGTGTGAGCACTCTGAGCCTGAGAAAATAGTCCCATCCAATGCTTCTGTATGAGAAGTATTTGATTGGACCACAGAAAAAAAACACAGCCTAACGTCAGACGTGGAAACTTCGCCCGGCGCTGGATTCCAGGTAGGTTGTAACCTATTTTATAATACAAAAGGGGAGGGGTAGGAAATTACTATAGTGTCCAATAGAGCAATATTGGCTGAAAAATACTTTGTGTAAAAGGTGTTGTAGTACCCTTTAAGAACCAAAGACATGCCAAGTAAATCAGGACATATATGGATCTGCCTAACAGTTGGTCCTTGAAGGGTTGTACATTGTGTTCTTGTAACCGGAAACAAGGTACTTATCATGAGTATGCTTACATGAAAGAATTGTTACTAAGTTACCTTAACTGTGCAGTACAGATTTAATTTCCGCGAACATATATAGCACTGTGAATAGTTCATCTTTTTTACTGCCTTAGGGGCTAGCAATATGTTGATCCTTCTGGCGCATAAATGGTTTAACGCTTTTTTGTTTCAGAACACATTTTTGTGCCTGCGGAGAGTGTGCTTTATTTTGAGACTGGCATGCAGCAAACCTACCAGCTTTCTACCAGTTTAATGGAAGGCATTTTCAGTAGGTTGTCTGGAAGCAGATTTATTTCTTTCATTATATTTGCTAATCTTACAGGCAATTCTTGCCTTAGGAATATAAATGATGTCTTTTCACAAGCATTCACAGTACCTGGAGGGGAAAAAGAAAAACACAAATAGGCATGACTAATTCTAAACATCTTGGGTTATGGTATTTTTTATTTATGTGAACTTTATATTTGCATCAAATGTAAACAAGGCCCATTGACAATGACAAACATACATAGCACATTCTGAAACATAGAAAAAGGGGGTGGGGGTGGTGAAAGCTCTCTGTATCTATTGAGACCAACCATATCCCATGGAGAAATTGTCCCTCTAGCCTCCTGCTTGCCCATTACGGATATTTCCAGATCTCTTTTCTAACACCATATAACCCCTTCTGAAAGCCAATACAAAAAGATATAGTGTACAGTAGGGCTGGCAAAGCATCAGATTAATTCTACAGTTACCACATATTTACCGTATGGTCAAACATGGTTTAGAGGTGGCATTTTTTACTATGATTTTACACATACGGTTTTCTATTTTGTCTCCAGAGGCCCCATCTTTTAAAATGCTAATGTTAAGATAATCAGGGGAAGAAGATTTGGGGTAGCCAAGTTTAACATAATGAACTGCCATTTTGCCCAGGCAGCACCACAATATGCCATTGCATCACAGGAGTACATTATATTATACAAAGGGCAGGGAAAGTTAATATTCATATACTCGTGTTCAAATGGTCTCAAACTAATTTTAATCTACAGCATGTGATGTTAAAAGCCAGACTCTGGGTGATGCAGACACAATGTGATCCAGAACAGATGAACCAAAAACAAAAGAAGAAAAAGGGTTAAAATCATGTACTGTGTTTAACCCTTTCAGGACTAGGTAGCATATTCCAGACACCTTAGTTTGGAAATAGTTAAAATGCAATCCTCAGGAGCTACAGGGGGCACTTAGCTGGAGCCGGGATTAATGTCCCTGCAGGACACTCCAACTGAGAAAGCCAAATCATTCAGTAGGCCTTATACATTGTCCATAAGCACTTCAATGATAAAGTGAATGGTATTGCTAATATTGTCAGAAGTATTAAGACACTATAGTCAACTTCCGCTTAATGAGGTTGTTCAGGTGAGAACTATAGCTCCCTGCAGCCACTCTCATGTAAACACTGTATTTTCTGAGAAAATACAGTGTTTACATTGAAAGCTAGGAACACCTCCAGTTGTCACTCAGAGTGAACCAGAGGGACTCAGATTTGCTGTCAGCAGAGCACAGGGCAGCACTGTGCACAGCATCTCCTCCCTCTGCATGAAGACACTGAACTTTCCTCATTGATTCAATTAATCTCTATGAGGAGATGGTGATTGGCCAGTGCTGTGTTTGAATCATGCTGGCTCTGCCCCTGATCTGCCTCTTTGTCAGTCTCAGCCAATCCTATGGGGAAGCACTGTGATTGGATCAGGCTACCACATGTCAGCAGAATGCTTGTTTTTCGGAGTCTAACAGGATGCAGATTTACAGCTTCTGGCTTGAATACAGTAAGATTTACTATATTTATGGAGGTATGAGGGGCCCTGGGGGGCTAGATGGTGGGTCAGGAATACATGTTTGTGTTCCTGACCCTATAGTGATCCTTTAACCCCTCAAGTGCCACTAGACAACTAATTTTCCTGTAACTCCAAAGAATTTGAAGAAATTTACAGTCCTATAAACAGCATTAGCATTCTAAATTACAAATGTCTAACAAAAGGATGAATCCTGTGATTCTGTTTATTGTTCACATAGTTAAAACAATCGTAAATGGTGGTGTTTAACATGCATCATATGAGAAACTCCATGCTGAGAGTGCATTAGAGGTGTTGAATACCATTGCATTTAAATGCATACACTATATTCCCTGACCTTTGTTAGCATTACAATTAAATTTCCATAGCCTGAAAAGGGCATAAACAAAGAGAAAATACTGCCTAAGATAAAGAACAGCTGACCTGTGATTAGACAGAGCTTGGAGGAAATAGACTTGTGGTAAAGTCTCACGTAATGTGCCAGACAAGTCAAAGCAAGGTCAATTAGTCCAACTGCTGTTACAAGAACAGAGGTCAGCCTAATGTTTGCTAAATAACAGCCATCAAAAAGCAGGTCATTATTAACCCATCTACCACTGATCACAGTGGCAGCCTGGAATTTAGACCTACATTCCACAATAGAACTCTGTAATTGTTAACATACAAAACTAGAGCTGGATTGAAGAATTTTAGGCCTGCACGACAAATAAGCAACAGCACTGAGATGGTTAATGCAAATGTGAAATTGGCAACTCGTATTGGCTGATGTATGATGCAAATATAGTATTCTATTGAGCTGCACAACCTAGCAGCATTTAGGCATAGAGTACTAATTTGCAAGGACATAAAAAAGGACTATGAATTGGCAATTCTTGCAATAGGAAGTAAGTTCTACTTCCTGCAAAACATCTCAGATGTAGGGCAGAAAAATGATATAAACACAGTAAATATATAAGCTACTTGCATTTAATAAGGCCAATGCATACATGACAAGGGGCTACATTTGTGGAGATCAAACCAATAATGTCGCTAAAGCAGTCACTATGGAAACCAATATAACAACCCAAGTTAATTACTCTAAATTTAGCACTTTGCACCAAAATTTGCACTTGGTCCCAATGTTTTTTGGTTTGTTTTTGTTTAATTTAGGAGACCATCATTGAAAATCGAGCACACTGTTGAATACGTTTTGGGATTAATGTGGTTTTTCTTCTAAAACAAAAAAATTACCTGTTAGCAGTTGCATTAAGTCACCATGACTTTCTAATTACTTTTTGTCAAGCAGATTAACAAATTGCCAGAGGGTCTCTCATTATCACATGTAATTTACATTACTATCAGGAGTGCATCTTACAACCTTCTATTGATAGGACTTACAGGCACATTTCAGTACAGAGCACAATGACGTTTTGCAACATCAAAAGAGGATCGAAGAAAAAAAAATAAATCCCTAGAAACTTATTTAATTCTGCATTTAAAAGGATTTGTTTAATGTATTAGAAAATAAACAAACACATTTTCATTGCTTCCCATTTTATGTATAAATATATATATATATATATATTTATAATCAATTTGTCTGTTGTGAGTTTTGCAACAATTTAAGGGTTTATTATTATAAATAGTGAACTGAAAAACAAATCCTAAATTTAGACCAGAACAGGTGAATTGGAAAAGTTCTTCAATACATCTGTTTATCCTCATTTGCTATTGTGGCCCACAATTTGCAATTCAGCTTTCGAATCACCACAATAGTGTTTAGTAAATAAACATCACAGTGTAACATTATAAGAACACAGGACATTGAACATCAACAGCCTGTAGGGATTCACTGCACCAAAACAGATTCTATCACTATTAGTGTTATTTGTCAAAGTGAATTTCATATTAAAAGTCAAATTCACATACGTGGAAACATTCTCCAATTTAGCTATGATTTCACTTCGGATACTCTGTCCTTAAATTTGAAATCTCACTTTCGTACATATTAATCCTGTATGACTTCCAAAACATACAGCTCTGTACATTACAAGCTCTGCAAGGATTTCTGTGAAATGGCTAGTAAAGAGTTAAATTGGATCATCTTACAATACTTGCATTACTCTCCCTTCATTGAAGCTTTTCCTCTTTCATTATAGTCTCTTAATAGAACTATTGCCTAATGGTGACCTTGAACATATGTATAAATCAAAAACATGTTCCTGGCCCACCAGGAAAATGATGTCCTTTATCAGTCAATATATATTAAAAAATATATATATTTTTTTAGTTATTATTTCATGGACTGGATAACGTATAAAATTGAGATTCAGTGGGGATCCTAAAAGAGATGACCCTTACATGTTTCACGTCTGAAACCTCTCTGTTGCTTTATTAATGCTTTTAGATGTTTCTTAATTCTGTTTATCATAGAGCAGGATCTGTTAACCTTTGCAACTCCCAGCTGCTGTGCATGGTGTTTCTTAGGATGATCACACACACAAATATATATTAATTTAGAAGAGATGGCAGTGCATGATAAGAAAGGTACTCCACATCAGCTAGAATTAGTAAGCCTTACCGAACATTGTTTAGGGTCCTTCTAAAGCAGGTTCTCCAGAGGCAATAAATATTAAAATCTCCTGCAGGGCAATGCCACCAGACCTGCTCCCTCAACCCTGGCTCCAGAGAGAAGACCCCCTCCACCTAGGGTCCAGAGAGAGGACCCCCTCCACCCAGGGTCCAGAGAGAGGACCCCCTCCACCCAGGGTCCAGAGAGAGGACCCCCTGCACCCAGGGTCCAGAGAGAGGACCCCCTGCACCCAGGGTCCAGAGAGAGGACCCCCTCCACCCAGGGTCCAGAGAGAGGACCCCCTCCACCCAGGCTCCAGAGAGAGGACCCCCTCCACCCAGGCTCCAGAGAGAGAGGACCCCCTGACCTCCAACTCACCGAAATCCAGGAACTGTTTCATGGACAGGGGGGACGGGGAGAACTTGGAGTAGAAGTCCACCAGGCTGTGGGTGCTGTTGCTGCTGGTAAGGGGGGCGCTCCTCATCAGGACCCTCAGGAGCCGCATGTTGGGTCAGGCAGTGGGTCCTTGGGATCAGGGATGGAGAGGTGGGGGTGCACTTGGCTCATACACCCTGATATCAGGACTGGCACCTAATACACAGGGTCAGTGTAACGCTCTGCTCTGCTCTGCTCTGCTCTGCTCTCACTCACTCACTCAGCCCTGCTCTGCTCTGCTCTGCTCTCAGGATACACCTCCTCCAGCAGACACGCTCTGCCAGCAACAGCCAATCACAGGCTGCGGGGCAAAGAAACAACAGGCGCCATGTTGACGTTCATTAACTGTGAACGCGCTGGAAGCTACTGTGCTGAAAGAGGCTGGTGCAGGTGTACTGGAAGTGAATGGGTTAACCGTATGAATGAGTGCGTTCTACATGTGAGAAAGCAAGTGCCTGTCTGCCAGGAGAGGGGACAGCGACCTCTATGGGCGCGGAGTGCGCACAGCGTTCTGGTCCATTTAAAGCCAGCTGTTTTATTGCGCTTGTTCTCTCCCATTGTACTTACAGGGGATACATAGTAATGAAGGGATACAATGTGTTCAGAAATAGAAACAAGCTTATAAAAGAATTAACAGACAAATTGGAAAACATTCGGGGTTTTTTTTTTCAGTTTGGTCGTTTTCACCTATATTTTGAAATTCCCTTAAATTCCTGACAATCCACATGGATTGATAAATAAAGCTGCATTTTAAGTTATTAAACTTTAAGAATTATCCACTAAAGGGACAATTTCCACTTGGAAAAAGACACAGTAATTGTATAGGTAGCCCTCCTAAGTAGCAATTTATGCAAAAACTGACAATTTGGTTTCTATTTTATGTGTAAGCGGTAAAACACAAGAAAACACACAACAGAAAAAGAGTGCGCCTAAAACATATAATAAAATATATGTTATAAAATGATGATAAAATATAATATAAAATAAATTATTAATAGTAGTCCAAATAACTTATCATAAGTCCGAGATGATAGAATCATTGTGTGGAAGGAGGACTCTTGAGATATAAGATGAAGTAAATCTTCACGGTTGTATAATTGTAATTTAGTGAAGCATATGCAAAAAAAAAAAAAAGAAGACAAGAACAGGACTCCAATGGCACAGTATATAGGTGAATAAAATTATAAGGTAGTAATAATAGTATTACTCACACTTTACAGAGCTAAAATCCAGCTCTGATATTGCACGCGTGAAGTGGAATAATCCCCACTCAAGGATAAATGAGGTAATACTTGATTGGCAGATATATGGCACAGGTTCAGCATCCAATATTGGTATTGTTCGACCCAGAAGTAAAAGGATAAAATATAGTGTTCTCTGTATTATGAATAAAAGATTTTATAAAAGTATAAAATATATTACTCACATTGTTTAGAGATATTTCTCTGTGGCAGTTTAGCGCTGATTTTTCTCTTTGTCTCTATGTGTAAGCGGTGCCACTGTTGTGACGAGGAATATTTACTCTGTTGCAGCATAAATGTTGGTATTATACTGAAGGTGAGATATTGCTCAGAATGCTTGTCCCGTTGAGGCCCCTGCGCTCTGCTGAAGACCTACGTCTATCCTCTGTCCGTACTCCCACCTCTGATGCTCGCCTCCAAGATTTCTCCAGGGCTGCACCGTTCCTGTGGAACTCCCTTCCCTTCTCCATTAGACTTTCACCCAGTCTCCACTCATTCAAAAATCTTTTAAAACACACTTCTTCAGGAAAACATATCAATTAAACTCAGGGCCGGCCTTAGGGGTGTACGGCCGCACAGGGCGCCATGGAGCAGGGGGCGCCGCACAGCTCACACATGGCCCTCCAGGATAAAAACAAACAAAAACAACCTGTGGTGGGGGCGGGGCTTACCTGCGGCAGGGGCGGGGCTAAAAGTGCAGTGTAACTGCTGCAGGAGAAGCAGGAAGGAGTCCCTGCTTCCCCCAACAAACAGAATCCAGGAGCTGCACTGCCTGTCTGCCTCCACAAGGAACAGAGGTAACAATGTGTGACTGTCTGCCTGTGTGTGTGTGTGTGGCTGTCTGCCCTTTTATGTGTGTGTGTGTGTGTATGTGACTGTCTGTGTGTTTGACTGTCTGCCTGTGTGTGTGACTGCCTGTGTGTATGACTGTCTGCATGTGTATATGACTGTCTACCTGTCTGTGTGTTTTACTGTCTGCCTGTGTGTGTGACTGTCTGTGTGTTTGACTGTCTGCCTGTGTATGTGACTTTCTGACGTTTTTTGTGTGTGGGTGTGTGAGTGTCTGCCTGTGTGTGACTGCGTTTGACTGTCTGCCTGTGTGTGTGTCTGACTGTGTCTGTGTGTATGACTGTCTGTGTGTGTGACTGTCTGCCTGTGTGTGTGTGCCTGTCTTTGTGTGTGTGTGTGTGTGACTGCCTATGTGTGTGTGGCTGCCTATGTGTGACTGTCTGGGCAGACTACATGGGCCGAATGGTTCTTATCTGCCGTCACATTCTATGTTTCTATGTCTGCATTTGTGTGCGTGTGTGTGTGTGTGTGTGGCTGTCTGCGTGTGTGTTTGTGTGTGGCTGTCTGCCTGTGCGTTTGTGTGTGGCTGTCTGCCTCTGTGTTTGTTTGTGGCTGTCTGCCCGACAGGCACACACAAACACACAGGCAGACAGCCACACACAAACACACACGCAGACAGCCACACACACACACACACAGGCAGACATGCCTCTGTGTTTGTTTGTGGCTGTCTGCCTGTGTGTTTGTGTGTGGCTGTCTGTGTGTGGCTGTCTGCCTCTGTGTTTGTATGTGGCTGTCTGCCTGTGTGTTTGTGTGTGGCTGTCTGTGTGTGGCTGTCTGCCTGTGTGTTTGTGTGTGGCTGTCTGTGTGTGGTTGTCTGCCTGTGTGTTTGTGTGTGGCTCTCTGCGTGTGTTTTTGTGTGGCTGTCTGCGTGTGTGTTTGTGTGTGGCTGTCTGTGTGTGCCTGTCTGCCTCTGTGTGTGTGACTGCCTATGTGTGAATGTCTGGGCAGACTAGATGGGCCAAATGGTTCTTATCTGCCGTCACATTCAATGTTTCTATGTCTGTGTGTGCGTGTGGCTGTCTGCGTGTGTGTGTGACAGGGTGTGTGGGAAGGGGGGGCGCTGTGAAGATTTTTGCATGTTTTTATCCCCCACCCCCTATGACTCCTCTCCTGCAACTGTTAAAAATTACCTACTAAGCCCTCAGTGAATACTTTTCTAACAACCTACTTCGTACCCCTACTTTTACCCACTGTGTCACAATACCCCACTCCCTCTAGAATGTAAGCTCATTGAGCAGGGCCCTCCACCCCCTCTGTTCCTGTACGTCCAGTTGTCTGATTACAATTACATGTCTGTTAGTCCACCTATTGTACAGAGCTATGGAATCTGATGACGCTATATAAATAATAAAATAATAATAATGTGCAAATCTCTGAATTGCTTACAAAAAATAAATATATATACTTAATTCTGGGTATATAGCACTTTCAAGGAAATCCCAAATAAGCAGGAGGGATTCATTATGACCAACTCCTACTACTTCTAACTATATGGAGGTTATGCGGTGTAAAAAAAGGTCCAAATAATCGCCACTAAAACTTGAGACTCCCAGTTGTGGCACAACCTCACAACATTGAAGTAAGGGGTGTCCCCAAGGCCCTAAGTGGATCTCACAACATTCAAGTAAGGCATAGAAATACAAGGTGGTGTCCCCATGGCCCAAAGTGGATCTGGTGGAATGTCTCTCCACAATCACCCAACTCGTGTCCTGCAAACAATGGGATAATGTAAGAGAGCCCTAAAGTGTCCTATCATTATCTTATGTACTGTGGCGAAACCGGCCTCGCCACATGTCCTTGGAGGGGGCTGCTTGCCCGCCTCTTGCCTTTGGACTATGGACCAGACTTTATGTGAATGTGTTAACCCAGATAGCTATGCCATGGAGCCCATTCGTGTAGTTAAAGACTTCGGCTCCATGGCAATTGAACTGTGTGAATAGGATCTGAGCGCTATTCGGTAGTTTTGTGCGCTCAGATCCCAGCTATCTGGGGATATGTGAATGTCTGTGTGTTATGTGTAAAAAGTGACTTTATGTATTTTAAAGTGTTTTGTGTCTTTTTGCAACCATGTGCTTAATGGAGTCTTGTGTCTGTCCTGGGAGATAATTGAATTACTCTCCAGGATAGAAGACTCTGAAACTGGTTTGGCCAGAAAGCCATGCTTCATTTAGTCACAAAGGACTTTTTACCTTAACTTTTGAACCCCTGTCTGATTTGTGCCATTTTTGAATATGTTGTTCCCCTGAATGGATTGATTGTGAATATGTAATTTTATGTGAATGTGATGTATGTTTTATGTTTGTGACATGTATATTTTAGAAGTTATAAATGTTGTGTAAAAACTGTATTCCTCTGCCGGTGATAATGAGATTACCCATTGTGTTCAGTAATCATATCACATGCAGAGGGGAGGATTTTGTGTGGGAGTGTCTGTGTGTATTGTATGGATTGATTGGCTTGTTTTGTAACGCCCTGTGGGCTGTACTATGTTTGTGGATTGGGAATAAAAGAAACTGTATGTGACAGTACAGGGAGTTCCTGTTTTAACCCTCAAAGTGAAGTGTCGTCTCATTATTGGGGGAAGGATTTATTGTATGCTGTTCCAGTTTGACTGCTAGGAGAGTAAACCTATTCGTATGGTTCCTATTCAACTGTCTACAGCATTCTTATGCTTGGGAGAATTTATTTGTTTCTCCGGTTCGGTGATTGGGGTGTCTGCCAGAGTGCTTTGAGTCCTCAGGAAGCGCTAGGAGCATCCTTCAACGGAGGTACCCAGTCGGGGTGCCAGGCGATCCGTTACATTGGTGGCAGCGGTGGGGATGGCGTCCTAGGGCGAGGTAAAGCAGCTCAGAGACACCGTTCGTGGAGTTACAAATTGAGGGCAACGCTAGCACACGTGCAGCGCCCCTGGGAGCAGAGGTATCCAGCGACTTGGAGCAGAGAAGTATGGAAGGCTCTGGCGATGATTGGATGGCCGAGGTGAGGCAGCGAGTGGCCCAGTATGGGGATGATTTACCCATGGAGGTACGCCGGGTGATCTGGAACCAGGTCACGGCCGAGCGAAACACAAGGCTGGCCCGAGAATTCCGGCTGGCGAAAGAGAGAGAGTATGCTCAGCGGAAGGAGTGTTACAGCAGCCGAGTAGAGGCTGCATCCGAGGAGGCTAGCCGTCTCCCCCTGAGGCGGCCGCAGGAACCCGAAGTAGGGGTCCTCATAGACTGGTCCTGTGAGGAACCACAACAGGCAAGTGGAGATGGGACCGGCCCAGATCCCCAGCAGCCGGAGTTGCCAGGTGGTCCTTACTCGCAAATGTTGAGGGACCACACAGACTGGTCCTGGGAAGACCCACAGATGGCAGGTGGAGATGGGACGGCGGTCTCTCTACCGGCCCTACAGGGATGCTGGGCGGTCAGCCCAGATCTCCAGCGGCAGTATGTATCACAGGGAGCTGAAGGTGCTGTCCTTCCTCCCCAGCAGCAGTGTGAGTCCCAGGGAGCCGAAGGGGTCGTCCTTCCTCCCCAGCGGCAGTCTATTTCCCAGGGAACGGAAGGTGCAGTCCTTCCTCCCCAGCGGCAGTGTGTCCTGCAGGAAGCGGAGACAGTCTGTCTTTCTCCCCAGCAGCAGGACAAAATATTGAAAGGAGAGACAGTTGGTCCCCCTCTCCACCAGCAAAGAGAGTGTCAGGGAGAGGAGCAGGTTACCCCCTCTCCCCAGCGGCAGCCTAACCCACCAAGGGGAGATGTTAAGCCCCACAACTATGCAGATGGGACCGTAGTCTCTGCACTTGCAGCACCAGGGGTAGGGACAGTCGGTCCTGTCCCCAGCCACAGAGCAGTGTATCCAGAGGGGAGACAGTCGGTCTCCCCCTCCCACAACCAGGCTCCAACCAGGCTACTTCAGTGGCAGCGCTGGCACCCGGGCAGAGTACCGCTGGTCTCTGCCCACTCAGCAACCCACCAAGGCAGTCTACCAGCCCCCCGCACAGCCGTGGTGAGGCACCTGGACATGGACAAGTTGCTGTTTTATCCAGGTGTAGTAACCAGTTATTGTGGGTGGGCTGTATTGCTGTTTGTGCTTCGTGGGTGGGTTGCTGGACTAACCAGGGCACTGACCGGCAGGAGGTCAGATACCCTGTTAGTTTGGATGGTAAAGGGGAGAGATGTGGCGAAACCGGCCTCGCCACGTGTCCTTGGAGGGGGCTGCTTGCCCGCCTCTTGCCTTTGGACTATGGACCAGACCTTATGAGAATGTGTTATACCCCAGATAGGAATCCCATGGAGCCCATTCGTATGAAACTGACTGTAAAGACTTTGGTTCCATGGCGATTAAACTGTATTTGTGTGGTCCGAGCGCCATTCACTTAATAATGTGCACTCAGACCCAGCTATCTGGGGATATGTGAAATGTCTGTGTGTTATGTGTAAAATGTGACTTTATGTATTTTAAAGTGTTTTGTGTCTTTTGCAACCATGTGCTTAATGGAGTCTTGTGTCTGTCCTGGGAGATAATTGAATTACTCTCCAGGATAGAAGACTCTGAAACTGGTTTGGGCCAGAAAGCCATGCTTCATTTAGTCACAAAGGACTTTCCCTTAACTTTTGAACCCCTGGTCTGATTCGTGCCATTTATTAATGTTGTTCCCCTGAATGGATTGATTATGAAAATGTATGTTTTATGTTTGTGACATGTATATTTTAGAAGTTATAAATGTTGTGTAAAAACTGTATTCCTCTGCCGGTGATAATGAGATTACCCATTGTGTTCAGTAATCATATCACATGCAGAGGGGAGGATTTTGTGTGGGAGTGTCTGGGTGTATTGTACGGATTGATTGGTTGTTTTGTAACGCCCTGTGGGCTGTACTATGTTTGTGGATTGGGAATAAAAGAGACTGTATGTGACAGTACAGAGAGTTCCTGTTTTTAACCCTCAAAGTGAAGTGTCGTCTCATTATTGGGGGAAGGATTTATTGTATGCTGTTCCAGTTTGACTGCTAGGAGAGTAAACCTATTCGTATGGTTCCTATTCAACTGTCTACAGCATTCTTATGCTTGGGAGAATTTATTTGTTTCTCCGGTTCGGTGATTGGGGTGTCTGCCAGAGTGCTTTGAGTCCTCAGGAAGCGCTAGGAGCATCCTTCAACGGAGGTACCCAGTCGGGGTGCCAGGCGATCCGTTACATGTACTGGATGGTAAAATGGGGTCCCATTAACAATGAGTCTGTTCAATGCTTCTCCCTATAATCACATCCTGTTTGTAGACTGTATAATGAGTGGGGAGCCCCAGGACTCCTACTTACCAGAAGTGATCACTGGGGCAGTCATTAAAATAAAATCCATTACCCCCCTTCTTTATTATTTTCTCTTGCATTCCATAAAGAAATAGGAGTAAACAGAGTATAATCAGATATAATCAGATTTATGTGTCACTGACTTGAAATAGATTTTTGATTTTTGTTTCATTCGACTTATTTCATTTTTGTTTCATTCGACTTGTTTCAATCTGATTGATTGTGTGATAATACTCCTTTTTTTGTTTAATATTGACGTTTGTTGATTTTTAAAATAATAAAAGCTTTAATCACCAAAAACAAAATCTTATCACTATGCAAATATAAAT